TTGTTGATCATATGACATCCAGAATCTAGGGACTTTGAGCTTAATCTTCCTGGCCTCTCTGACATCTTCCGGAAGCACTCCGTCCGTTAAATATGCAATGATAGGCTTCATCCATCCCGACGGTGTTTGCATTACGGTTGACAACACTTGTTCGGCCTTTGCTTTATCTATGCTCAGACTTTCCTGGGTCTCAATAAGTATGCGCCGAGTTACCTCTAAGGCCAAAGCCGAAGCCAGACATGCTAGTGCATCGGCGTGCGTATTATGATCTCTAGGAATCTGAAAAACTTCCACTTTTTCTAACTTTTCCATCCTGGATTTTGCCTTCTCATGATATGCCTTCATTTTGATATCCCGGACCTCGAAGTCCCCATTTATCTGGTTCACGACCAGTTGAGAATCGCAAAAGATCCGAAGGTGTCTAACCCCAATCAAAGCATGCGGCATCCAGTCCTGCTAGCAACGCCTCATACTCGGCTTTGTTATTAGATGCCTTAAATTTTAATCTGATTGCCCTTTCAATGATGAACCCTTCTAAGTTGACTAGCACAATACCTATCCCTGCCCCCCTTGCGTTCAAGGATCCATCAACATGAAGATCCCAAACGTCCCCTGTTAGATCCTGTGAAGTTGATGGGGGCTCAGACGCAGAGAACTCAGCGATAAAGTCCGCCAGGACTTGTCCTTTTATTGACGTTCGAGGCTTGTACCTGATTTCAAACTCTCCGAGCTCTATAGCCCATTTGGCAACCCTCCCAGACATATTGGCTCGGTGAAGGATTGGCTTGAGAGGTCGGTCTATAAGGATGTCTATGGCGTGAGCCTGAAAGTAGTGTCAAAATTTCCTCATCGAGATTACCAATGCCAAAATCTATTTCTCCATTGGAGAGTACCTTGTCTCGGCGTCAAGCAAGGTCTTGCTTATGAAATACACGGGTGTTTGGGCCCCTTCGCTATCCCTGACACCTCCCCTACCGCTGGAATAGATAAAGTCGGAGGATGTTTCAAGTACTCCTTGATCCCTTCAAGAGCTCAACCGCATTCCTCGTCCCAAATCCCTTTAGCTGCCCCCCTCAACTTGGCAAAAAATGGTTTGTACTTGTCTACTCAATTTATTTGAAGAGGTGCCTAGAGTCTATAAAAGGACAACCCCTACTGGCATTTGTAAGGGTGTCCATGGGTTAGGCCAAGCTTCGAGTAAGGATAGGCTACCCACAGCCCAAACCGTGAGCCTATTAGACAGGCCAGTGGGTGGGCTTGTTGAGCCGGTAGGCTCGCGAGCTTTTTTATATACTTCATTTAAAAATAATTAATATTTTTATAATTTAATATTTGTGTAAATTATATTTTTGAGTCAAAAGTAGAGTCAAAATTGATAAAAATAAAATAATAATTTTATTTTTTGATTAGGGGATGAACTACATCCAATAAAATGAATACATCTCAACTACATTGACATCTACTCACTTATCTATCATTTGTAATACTCTACTCTTTAAAACTTGTATGCTTAATGTCTAAATACTTAAAAGTTCAAATTCCGACTTTGGTAGACTTATATCAAAGCTTCAAATTTAATGGTCTAAAAGTATAACTTTTTTTCAAATGAAGGGTGGGCGAGCTGGGCTTGGCAGGCGGGTTCTTGGGCCAGGTTTTAACTGGTTTTTTTGGACAAGCTATTGGGTCGGGTTTCAAATAGGGTAATGAGTTTGGGGGCAAACTCAAACCCTCTTTTTAAGGATATTGGGCGAGCCAACTATAGGGCCTATCGAGTTTCGGTCCTATTTTTTTCGAGTCAGGTAATAGAACCTGCAGGTAACCCGATCGATGGAAACCCCTAGGCATTTGGAACACACCGAAATTAATGAACAATTCTTTTGACTTTCATACTTCTCTTCCTCTGCATAAATATTATTGCATCGTTGTTGTTTGTCATCGGTTCATGTACCAGGCGCAAAATTGTGTTCGTTGGAGTCTTGGAGATTAAAGTACTGCTTCTCCAAGAACGTAAATCCATTTTATCTTGAGGGATAATTGCTCATCAACCTCGAGCACCGAGAGGAAGCAAATTTGTCTTAAGCAGACTATGGATACAATGCTCAAATTTATTCTTTATGTATTATGATTTTTGGGTCCTGATCGTTGTTGTTATTCTACGACTATGGATACACGGCTTCGATTTATTCTTTATTTATTCTGGGCTTTTGGTTCGGATCGTTGTTGTTGTTTTGCGTCCATGTGAGTGCATTATTTTATTTTAAACAGTAGGCTTTCTATTTTATATTTGCAACATTTATTAAGTTTCCTAAATCTAATTATATACATAATATTTTGGATAACAATCACAAGGGACATCATCAATATATTTCTTTGATCAAAAAAAATATAATAAGCACTGCAAAGCCACACCAGATTCTCCCACAAAGCCACCCCACAGTCTACTTATGATGGTTCAAGTCCTTTTCCACTCCCACATTTGCTGGTTATGGCAAGGGGCAGTTACAATTGTTGGCTAAGCCAGCTAGAAACTGCCCTTAGCTATTGTGCATGCTGAGTGCACATGCTAGCAACCCTCATGTTGTGCACATGTCATCATTCTGCGCAGAACTGCCCTTGCATGCCATGCACATGCCAGCAATTGTTTGGAACCGCCAGCATCTTCAGGGCACATGCCACAACCGTTCAAAATTGCCTCACATGTTGTGCACCTGCCTTCCTTGCGAGTCCACAACACCTGATTAGCCTTGTCTTCTTGCCTAGCCATGGCTTGTTCTTCCAAGCTAGCATTGCCCCACAAATCAAGCCACCCGGCTAGTTTTTACTTGCATGCATGCTTGTGCCCACGTGCTCATGCATTAACTGCTACACTCAGCCATGCATGGGGCTTCAATTACCCACTGATAGCACGCAATCAGGCCCATGCATGAGCTGCCTCACTTAGTTATGCATGGGTCTTTAATTCACCCACTAACCATGCCTAACGTGCCTGTGCATGCGCTGCATCCCTTAGCCATGCATGGGGCTTCCACCAACGACGAGTTCCCTTTGATCATCAGCCCCGCATTTTGGGTCTCAGACTTTAGAATGTCACGCCTCCACCCATGGCAAGTATTTGTTGGGATTGTGCATTGTTTCCATGTACCAAGGCTTAGGGGCATAGGGTCCCTAGGACCCCTTCATGGAGCACACCCCTATAATAGTGTTATGAAGCAAAACCCTACTGACAACACTAGACATACTCTGAGCCGAGGAGTCATAATAACATAATCTTGGGGCATAGTCACTGCATGCCATTGGAGTCTTTTCCAAACCATTTTATCCTAACAAAATGCAAGTCCAAGTCCTTTAGGAAACATCTTTTGCACCAAAGGTTTGCTTCCTCAAGTGAAATCCAATTTGGCTAAGGCATGGGAGCCTTTGAGCGAGGCTGCCCCCATGCCAATGCCAAGCCAAAAGCTATGCGAGTAACAATCCACCCCCACCAAAAGAGCTTGACGTCCTTGTCAAAAGGTTGTCCCAATTCGCCTTGATCTAATCAGGTTCAATAGGTTTCTTCCTCTGATGAGCAGCCTTAACAAAGTTGTCCTTTGACTCGTTAAGCAACCCTTGTTTAAAACGAGTAACACCATATGCAGTAGAACATCTGGTCCTCTTTCTTGCCCCTCCATAGACAAAAGATTGTTGTTGTCCCATAGCCACCATCTGATCAGGGACACGGGTTGGAAGCTTCAACTCCTTTTTGTGGTCACCTCCATATCCAGGTAGAAGGTCCTTGGAGAGATTTGAAGGCAAAGTCTCAGCACATTCCTCCAAACGTTTTGCCACTAACCTGGGCATTTTAACCTTCTCAACAGTTTTATTCCCCACCATTGTTAAAAGATATGTCATCTTGCATTTATGCAACCCAACATCCACCTACAAAACGGACAACATCTCCACTTTCTGCTTGCCGTCTCTTTTGATTTGGTCTGCTACCTTCTCTGCAGGCACAAAGCATGCTACTCCTTTGTCTAAGATAAGCATCCTATTTAGATGTGGCATCAGTGCCACTTTGACCTTTACGAAAAACTTGTTCTCCGAGGATGACATCGAAGTCGTCCAAGGGTATAGCTATCATACTCACGTGGCCTTCCCATAGACCCACATTCAGGCTCATCTCTGCATTTCCAAGCACTGGAATTGCTCCTGAATTGACAACCTCGAGCTTGTTGGAGCTCTTGTCCAACTATAAGCCAAATGTTCCCACTTCCCTCTGCGAAATGAAGTTACGGGTGACACACGTGTCCACCATGGAGAAAACTTCTTTCCCGTTCACCCAAGCTTGCACAAACATCAGACCTTTACAGGCTTACTGAATCTTTCCCAAAGACATTTGCATTCAGTAATTGCAGAGGATTAACCCGAGTGGGGTAATCATCGTCGTTGCCATCTCCACTTCCAGCGACGAAGGTAGTCAACTTCTCCCATTTGGGATAGTCCCTGGCATGATGAGGGCCACTGCAAAGAAAGCAACCAGAAACAAAGCTCTTTTTTTTAAGCTGTTGTCTGAATTTTTAGAATCACCACCGTTCATCTTTTTCTTCCAATCCGCCCCCTCTGCATCTTGGGAAGTACCAGACCAGTCTTTCTTATCGCTTCATTCCCTCTTTTTCTTTTCAAAAGGGCCTTGACTATTGCCCATTTTGAAGTCAACCAAGCCATCCATAGTAACGATGACAATGGGCAAATCACACACCCTCTGCCTACGCAACTCAGCATGTGCTCAACCTTGCAAACCAGACATGAAATTGAAGAGTTTGTTCTCCTCAGAGATGTTCTTGATATCCAGCATCAAAGACCTGAACTCAGTCACATAATCACGAACGATTCCAGTGTGCTTGAGTTTCTTGAGCGATTCCCTAGCAATCCACATCGCATTACTAGGAAGGAATTAATCCTTCAACTTCTTCTTTCGCATCTCCCATGTCTCTATTCTGACTCATCCCGTAGCAGCATCATCCTCACTTCAAGTTTGCCACCAAAGCTTGGCATCCCCGAAGAGTTACATGCTGGTTATGGTCATTTTCCCTCCCGTAGGCACATAAGTAGCCTTGAAATATTTCTCCATGTCCTACAGAAAGTTCTCCATCTCCTTGGCACTCCGACTCCCTCCGAAGGCCTTTGGTTCAAGACCTTGATCTTTGAAGATGTCTCACCCGCACAAGGTCGAGAATGCATGGCCCTGTTCACGATTCTAGGGTCAGTTCATCTTCAAGATTATTGAGGTTCATCTTGACAGAATTAGTGAGGGACAAAATGTCCTCCATCATCGTTGTCATCCTACCATTGGTGTCTTTCACAAAGTTGTCGAAGGCAATTCTCAAATCTGCGATCTGGGCAGCATGTTCTACCATCTGCACAAACACACTAGTTTTAGCACCACCAGCATGGACACCCAAAAAATCCTCTAGACGGGTCACACGTTCACGTAGTTCAGCAACGTTTCCACCAGCCATGGTCAAAAACTGAAGCTTTGATACCAACTGTCATGGGGTCAATTTCTCACTCAAATTTTTGCCTCGTTATGGCACTGAGGTCCACACTCAATCTCAACCAAGAACTCAAAACGCTCACAAAAAGGCACACAAGGAACAAAATGTAGGCACAATAAGCAAACAAAGCACACACAAACTTTACAGGCCAATGACCCAACCTTTTCTTTCTCAATAAATACTAAAGGAACACTCAGTCAGGGTCTGCTTACAAAATGTGCTCAACTCTCTTGGTTGCACTGCAGACCTAACCATGCCTAGGCAACTGCAAAGCTACACCAGATTCGCCCACAAAGCCACCCCACAGTCTGCTGATNGGGTCTACTTACAAAATGTGCCCAACTCTCTTGGTTGCACTGCAGACCTAACCATGCCTAGGCAACTGCAAAGCTACACCAGATTCGCCCACAAAGCCACCCCACAGTCTGCTGATAATGGTTCAGATCCTCTGTCACTCCCGCATCTGCTGGTTATAGCAAGTGGCAATTTCAATTGTTGGCTGACCCAGCCAACAACTGCACTCAACTGTTGTGCATACTGAATGCACATGCCAACAACCCTCATGATGTGCACATGCCATCATTCTGCACAGAATCGCCTCTACATGCCATGCACATGCCAATAACTGTCTGAAACTGCCACCATCTATAGGGCACATGCCATAATTGTTTGGAATCGACTTATATGTTGTGCACCTGCCTTCCTTGCGAGCCCACAACACCTAATTAGCCTTGCCTTCGTGCCTAGCCATGCCCAGCCTATGGCTTGGTTTTCCAAGCTAGCATTGTCCCACAAATCGAGCTATCCAGCTAGCCTTTGCATGCATGTTTGCTTGTGCCCTCGTGCCCATGCATTAGTTGTTATGCCCAGCCATGCATAGGGCTTCAATCATCCACTGATTGCACCCAATCGTTCCCATGCATGAGTTGCCTCACTCAGCCATGAATGGGTCTTTAATTCCCCCACTAATCATGTCCAACGTGCCCATACATACGCTGCCTCTCTTAGCCATGCATGGGGGTTCTGCCAACGACGGGATCCCTTCGATCATCAGCCCCGCATTTCAGGTCTCGGACTTTGGAATGCCTTGCTTCCACTCATGACAAGCACTTGTTGGGGTCGTGCCTTGTTTCCATGTGCCAAGGCTTAGGGGTCCTTGGGGAAGCTAGTATTGCATCTTTTTGCAGAGCACCCCCCCTATAATAGCGTTATGAAGCAAAACCCTACTGACAGCACTAGACATACTTTGAGCCAAGGAGTCATAATAACCTAAGCTTGGGGCATAGTCGTTGCATGTTGTTGGAGTCTTTGCCAAACCATTTTATCCCAACAAAATACAAGTCCAAGTCCTTTAGGAAGCATCTTTTGCACCAAGAGTTTGCTTCCTCAAGCGAAACCCAATTTGGCTAAGGCATGGGCGTTATTGAGTGAGGCTGCCCCATACCAACGCCGAGCCAAAAGCTAAGGGGGTAACAACTGCCCACTACCACCACCAACATCACCACCACCCACACCCACCATCCCCACCACCATCGCCTCCACCACTACCCACCACCTAAAACAGTAAAAAATTAGCCTACCACCCACCACCCAACTATCCCCACCAACCACCACCACCCAAAATATTAAAAAACTGGCTCATCACCATCCACCGCCAGCGTCACCCCCACCCACTGTCGCCACCCACCACCACCCCCCCCCCAAACAGTGAAAAACTAGCTAACTTAAAAAAAATGAAAAATTAATGAACTAAATATAGTGAACTCAAAAACAATAAAAAATTACTAAACTATAAAACAATGAAAAATTAGTAAACACCAAAATAATGAAAAATTACTAAACTCAATTTATTGATTTAAAAAATAATGAAAAATTATTGAACACAAAAATAATGAAAAATAGTGAATTTAAAAACATTAAAAAATAGTGACCGACTAAGAAACAGTTGACCGCAACATATTATCCTCAATTCAATCAAAATAACAAATGTGAAACAATAAAATTTATCTAATTTTAATGTTTAGGGCGATAAAATTGAATTTATTTTTTTATTTCAGTTATTAAAATTGGGACTTAATTTACCAAATTTACATGTTAAAATATACAAAATTTTAAACAATGAATTTTATCTAATATAAAGAAATTCCTAATTTTAAAAAATTTCATAAACAATTAACTTTAATAGAATATAACTCCTAGAATAAAAAAGTGAAGTAAAAAACCGTGGAAAATCAATGAACTCAAAAAACAATAAAAACAGTGAATTCAAAAAACAATAAACACTTGTCACCACCATCGCCAACCACTACCACCAACCATCATTACGCACCACCATCAGCTATTGCTACCACCAAGTATCACAACTACCTGTCGCCACCCGCTGCCCACCGCCCTAATAATTTATTAGACTAAGAAAATTTTTCGTCATTTTCGCATGTAAGGGCCCAAATCTACTCTTCCACATGCGATTTTCGCGAGACTTACATAGAAAATGGACTTTTGCCCACTTTTTTACCTAACCATATATATATGTATAAATGTATTTGCAAAACTGTGAAGGTTCATAACAAAATCTTTTATCAACGTCATTAATGGAGGAGCTCAGGAACCATTTCTTGTTCAGCCTATCTACCACGACAATGTTGAGTCAATCACAATTCCTACCTTCTACTTCCAAGAAAAAACTAAGCAAAAAATTGCAGAGCCTAGACTTGGGTGAGTAGAATTCAATAACAATAACCTCTCTCCCTCTTGCCAATGCAAATGCTAAAGCTCTGTGCTCTGCCTCTCCTTTTTCTTCAGGAGTCAAGCCCTTCTTCATTGTTTTTGATGATACCTCAAAATAAATTCCAAATGCCAACTAAGAAGGTCAGCTCAGCCCAGGAGGTCAGACTAGACGAACAGAATTCGGAAGAATATAGTTGGGGGTCCCTTCAAGATAAGCAAGGGCAATAACAACTAAGGCAACAGCTGGAAGATCATGAGAAGTTCCTAAAAATGATAGGAAGGAATAATCGAGGCACCTAATCGGAACCAACCAAGATCTTCTCCTAGAATTAAGGAGAACCCCACGAAATAAGGGCAAGAATCTCGGCCAAAATCCCACTGAATAAGGAACAGCCCTATAAATACAATGTAACGCCCCCAAGGAGGGAGAGGACCCTAGTATCACATATTACAGTCTGTAAACTTTTTAATAGAGCGAATAGTGAAAGAAGGAGGAATAATCTCGATTGAAGAGTGGATTAGCCGAGCTCCCGAGCTGGTGAACCACTATATTTTTATTGTGTACACCCCTTTAATCCCCTGAATATCTTATCGTAGCATCATACACGAGCCTCGAAACTCTAATCCACACTCATCTCACGTTACCTACACCTTAAGCTCATCCACGTTGAAATACACCACTTGTTTGGCGCCGTCTGTGGGAACACTATTCCTATTACAAATAAAGTTGATTTTTTGGTGACTGATGGTATCAATGCGGAACATGAGCCGAAGTCAGACCAATCCTCTACGGATGCAAGATCAACAGGAAGCCGCGGATAACAGGCAACCCAACAATGTTCAAGAAGCAGATCCCCCCATGGGTGGCCTTCCCATGAATGATGAGATGGAGGCCCTTCGTTTTGTCAATGAACGTCTGATAAAACAGAACGAAGAGCTCTTAAAGCTCCTACAATGCCCACCGGAGACACGACTGGCCCAAGGATGCCAGAATAACTCACCACCAAGAAAGCAACTGCACCTCGACCCCCTCAAAGAAGTTAATGAGGTGGGGGAGAATAGCCAAACCTTCGGACAAGAACCTCGACTACCCCCTAGGAATGGACACAACGAGGAAGTGCAAAGTCAGTATAAGGAAGGAGAGAGGAGCGACTTCTTCCCTTATCAACAGGAGAAAAAAGAACACCACTGGGAGCAATATTTCAAAGACATCCAGCAAGAGTTCAGCCAAATGAAGGAGGCAGTGAAGAGCAAGACCCTAGTCACTATGGATGTTTTGGTGCAGAAAACCGAATCCCCATTCACTACTGGGGTGCCGTATTTTCCTCTCCCACCTAAATTTAGAATACCGCAGGTGGATGCTTTCGATAGAACAAAAGATCCCGTGGACCACCTCAACACCTACAAAAATCAAATGGAGTTGCGTGGATATCAAGATTCAGTGAGATGCAGGGCCTTTGCTATCACCCTGAAGGGCTCAGCCTTGGCATGATTCAACAGACTCCGACTAGCCTCAATTTCCTCTTTTAAAGAGTTGTCAATCTCGTTTGTGTCCCACTTCATTGGAGCTCGGACCTATAGGAAACTGAGCTACCATTTGTTAAATGTGAAACAGGGACTTGATGATAACCTACGGTCTTATGTCCAACGGTTCAACTCAGAATCTTTGAAGGTGGATGTCTCAGACGAAAAATTTGATATTACAGCCTTTATAGCCGGTCTGGGAGTTCATTCAAAAGACCTGATATTTTCTATCTCAAAGAACCCCCAGGCTAGTATGGCGGAGGTGCTCGCCAAAGCAGAAAAGTATATAAATGGTGAGGAATCGCTCCTCTCAAAGGTGGGGAGCTCTTCATCGAGAAAGGAGAAAGGGAAGGAAGAAAAGAAGAGAGAACGAAGT